TTCTTCCATTTAATTACATGGCATGATAATTACTTTATGTACAATGTTCAATATATCATGATCAAACTTGATATAGCCATAATTGAAGCTTTGACGTCATGTGTATGTCATGCTATTTAATTTAGGAGTTTGTTGAACGTACTCAATTTTCCTAAAAAAAGGTCCGACTGAAATTTGTGTTGATAATAAGTCGGTAATACTATTGGCGAAGAATATGGTGTTTCACGAGAGGAGCAAGCATGTCTATACAAAGTACAATTTTATTCAAGATTGTATCTCCAAGAAAGAAGTGAAGTTGGAGTACGTGAAGTCGCAAGGTCAAGTCACGGATATCTTCAAGATGCTGTTGAAGCTCGATGTATTCAAGACTTTGTGCTTTTCTCGTGGAATGAGGAATTTAGTTTAAGAGGAGGTGTTGAATTAATAAACTAAAATTAATACATCATGAAGTAACTTAATCTATTGATGCATTTAGACAGTTTAGTTTCAGATATTAATAAATAATATTAATAAGTTTTGAGGTATAAATTTAAACATTGAGGTGAAACGTAGGACAATTGCATGGGAGTTTAAAGGCATGGGAGTCATTTAAGAGTTGAGAATAATTCAAGAAATAAAATTTTTAGTTTCCTGCTCTTCCATTTTCTAACAAAGCACATAACAATGCTATGTGCTTACGTGTCTTCGTTCCCGATAACGATGGCCATTATCCTAAATTAATCAACGAAGGTTTTATATTCTCAATGACTCCAGATTTTCGTGCTAATTGTATTGTTTAAACTTACTGTAAATCAATTACCAAGTCTTTTCCATTTATGAAGAGAGTCCCTTGCAAGGTGACGTTTTTATTCGATAGCATAGCATATGACTTTATTTTATTTAAACAAGACCATTCATTCACAACTCATCGTGACCATAATAATCCTCCACGCTTTTACATGACATCCTCTTGAATGCTAGTTCCTCTCCCTTCAGGTCAAAAGCAATGTTGAAATTCTGCTGCATCACATTTCCGAGTATGGCTGTATTTCTCCCGAGTAAAGATGACGGAAGGATCGCGAGGCAGAAAAGATTATCATCGGCCTCAACGAACACATTATCCGGTGTCAACTCCATGTATGCTCGGTTCTGGAAATGCAACTTCACTTTCGGGAACGGTTTGAGATAAATGGCCTCCCCTATATAGCACTGCATTGAGTATCCTCGAAATGTTATGGAGAAAGGGGACAAGGGGAGATTTAGCTTCTTGATCGCACTCCTCGTTATCTTCTCGAACTCGGTCAGCACTATCTGTGGGAGGAAGGTGAGAGTCGAACCGGAGTCCACCAACATCCCGCCCTCATGTTTCCTGGTATCCCTCCTAAAGAGATGGCGGCTGGTCTTCAGCCATATGTCCCCGATGCCAATATCCACGAGGTTCACGTAGTACTTGTCCTCGACCGTCAGTGGGGTTCGTGCACCCCACATCCTGACATCTTTTCCGATAGCAAGCATGTTGTAGGGGTATTCCGGATCGCTCAAGTCCCCGAAGCAGTACGAGAACTTGGAGGCTTTGTACTGTGAAAGGAAGGAGATAGGGATATTGCCCAACCCGAAGATCCCGTTGTAGTTCTTGTCGCCGGTGTTGTGAGCGCACCCAAAGGCGAGGTTTGGGACCACCTCGTCCTGGTGCTTGCCAAATCTGAACGTTTCCCGACCGAGATTCCCCTCGCAAAAGGTGGTTCCATACCTCACCTAATGAATAGGTTGTAGAAGAGACAAGGAAAAATTTTCTATTTGATGAATGTTATGAATAGTGTTAATTGTTGTTTTCACTCCAATCCAATATTTTAAGTTTTTTAGTTCAAACATTGAAAAGTTATCTTTTACACCATGCAAAAAAGAACATTGTGCAATCAATGATTACACTGTCATTAATTGGTATAATGCTAAAAAGGCATAATGCGTCAAGTGATTGCATGATGCATGATGCGGAAAATATTTTATAGTTATATATTGGAGTGAAGAGAAATTGCCCCAATATTAATAAGCAAAAACGAATGTAATTTGTATAAATTTTTAAGAATCGGAATTGAATATCTGAATACTCCATGGATTCGATTCGTTCACCCACCGAGAACTTGCATCCCTTGACTTTGTAATCACGGTCTTGACAATTTATCTTGGTGGGGCCCGATGACCAGCAGATATGACCTAAATCGCAATTCTCGACCCGGTAGGTGGTGGATTTTTGGGGGTCGTATATGGGCTCCAGCGCGTGTTTCCCACACGGCTGGCAGTTGATCCACAACAGGCCGCTCCCGCTGTCCAAAAACAAATGCTGTTTGACCTTTTCCGACCCGACCCAGAAAGGGACAAGGAACCCAGTCCAGTCGGCGGTCAGCGGGATCTCGGTATTGAGGCGGGACCCAATGCTGATGTTGGAGGTTAAATGGAGCCCACGGGATATCGAGGTATTGAAGTCATAGTCGGCGATTTGTTTGATGGTCATTGTGGGGTTGTAGTATGGAGATTTTTTCGAATGGACATTGATTAGTGTCGTGAAGATATTAGAATCAGGTTTTGGGCGTCTCCGTGGCCCGGCAACAGCAGAAACGAAAATGTGGATTAATAAGATCCATACGATGTGTGAAAGAGAAGTTTTGTTTCGAGCAAACATGTCAACGGGAATAGAATAAGTTTGTAAGAACTGATGAGAGGGGGGATGGCTAATTGGTGCAGGCTTGAGTTAGTTTGTGGGCATGCGTTATATAGAGGGGATTGGATATTTTAGAAATGAGTTTTTAGGATGATGCTTTTTATTATTAATTATTAATTTATTTATCAAGCTAATTATATAATATTCATAGACAAATTAGTATAATATAAGGCGATTAAATTTTACGGATGGTGAATATTATTCTAAATAAGAATAACAATACCCTCTATTAAAAATATTTAAAATATAAAATTAAAAATCCTATTTAAGAAAATTAAGTATAATACTTTAAGTATAAATTCATTAACTAACAGTCGTTTATTAACACTGGTTACATATTGCTATTAGTATTTTATTAATTTAACTCTTGTATAGACAGCTGAGTTATTATAGAACACGAACGGTTAAAAATAAAGTTGTTGAGAGTT